TATAACTTGACTCAAAAGATCATTGATATTCATAGATGGTAGGTATTTCTGTCACATTTCCTTTTAAAGCATGTACATAAGACAAACCGGAGGTCACATCTTGAAAATAGTGGCATAGAATGGAAGTGCTAACCAAGGTAGCTTTAATATAGAATCATAGAATAGAATAATAGAATCAGTTAGGTTTAAGATCATCGAGTCCAATCATTAACCTAGCAGTGCCAGGTTCACCACTAAACCATGTCCCAAAGTGCCACATCTACACATACCTCCAGGGATGGTGAGTCAACCACTTCCCTGGGCAACCTATTCCAATGATTGACAACTCTTTCAATGAAGAAATTTTTCCTAATATCCAACCTAAACCTTCCGTGGCACAACTTGAGGCCATCTTGTCCTGCTGCTTGTTACTTGGGAGAAGAGACCGACTCCCACCTTGCTATGCCCTCCTTTCAGGTAGTTCACGGATTCATGGAATTGTCAGAGTTGGAAGGGACCTCTAGAGATCATCTAGTCCAACCTCCCTGCTAAGCAGGATTGCCCAGAGCACATCGCTCAGGACTGCACCCAGGCGGTCTTGAAAATCTCTGGAGAAGGGGACTCCACGACATCTCTCGGCAGCCTGTTCCAGGGCTCTGGCACCCTCACCCTAAAGAAGTTTTTTCTCATATTCCAGGAATCCCCATATTCCTTCCCATGTTCCAGCTTACGCCCATTGCCCCTCATCCTATTGCTGGAAACCACTGTAAAGAGTCTGGCTCCATCATCCTTCAACCCACCCTTTAGGAACTTGTAAACATAGATGACGTCTCCCCTCAGTCTTCTCGAGGCTAAAGAGCCCCAGCTCTTTGAGCCTTTCCTCGTAAAGGAGGTGCTCTAATCCCTTAATCATCTTACTTGTAGAGAGTGATAAGGTCTCCCCTCAGTCTCCTTTTCTGCAGACTAAACAACCCCAGCTCTGGACATGCTCCAAGTGCCTCAATGTCTTTCATGTAATGAGGAACCCAAAACTGAACACAGTATTCAAGGTGTGGCCTCACCAGGGCCCAGGGGGGCAATCACTTCCCTACTCCTGCTGGCCACATTATTTCTGATACAAGCCAGGATGCTGATGGCCTTCTTGGCCACCTGGGCACACTGCTGGCTCATGTTCAGCCGGCTGTCAACCAACACCCCCAGGTCCTTTTCCATCGGGCAGCTCTCCAGCCACTCTTCCCCAAGCCAGTTGTATGAGCAGCCAGTTTCTGCAGGAGAATGCTGTAGGAAACAGTGTCAAAGGCTTTACTAAAGTCCAGGTAAATAACATCCACAATATGCTGATTTGAGCCTGAGATTTCATACTAACTATTTTTATTTTGAAAGAGAATACCTGCAAATTAAGTGAAAAAAGCTTTGAATGGATCTGCAGATATTGTGGGTGGAACACTGGAAAGATCTGGACATGTTTTGCTCACTCTGCCCTCTTCTCCCCCATCCTCCAGTGCAGGATGAATGAAGGGGAAAAGCTTCCCGGTGTTTCCAAAGGGAAAAGAAGTGATAAGAGGGAGAGTCATGCTTTACTGTCACCCTTGACAGACAGTAGGATAAAATATAGCTCTGTCACCGAAAGACTAGGTTTCCAGAGCTGAACTGGGACAGTCAGGCTGAAAAGGAAGACTAGACAAAGAAAGAGTATTTGAAATAAAAATGTGTTATATTACTTTGTCAAACAAAATGGCCCTTGGAAGCACCTCATTTTCCAGAGTGCTCCCCATTCAAATCTGTGCCTTCCAGGTGCTATTCCCAGCCTCTGCACCTTCTCCTGTACGTCCCCAGACTCAGCCTGGGTTACTGTGGTGTGGGGAAGGAGAGGAAGAAGGACAGAGTTGCTGCCCAGCCATCCAGTTCACTACGGCTGCACGTACAGAGGCTGGTCTGGTTGTTTACCCTTGTTCACTGGCTGGAAAAAAATACCAGTCTTTGGCGTGTTAAACAGTAAATTAGGTCCTGTCCTTTTTAAAGTTTAAAGAAAATAAAAATGCCTACTTTGATGTTTATTTATACTATGATATGTATGACAAAATTGATCTCTTTGAAATACAAATTAAAACTTATACTGAAAAAACAGTTGGTTTTCACATTGGAGCTGTAAAAATAGTCATATAGTAGAAACTGAACCGTCAAGGCCATTTATTTTGTACCTGGTTGACTTTTCTGTTGTAGTAATTCTTCATCCTGTTCTTCAGCTTTACTTGTCCGTTACACAACTCTGAGCTCACTGTGTATTAGTGCTGTGCAGCTGCGCTGTAAATCGACTGAAGCGTGCTCAGATTTTCATCTTAGTCAGCAAAGTCTATATATGTGATATATGTTGCATGAGCTTCAAAAACATCAGCTTTACAAAACATCTGCTTATTTCTTATTGCTCCTAGAGGATTTTTCTAGAGTTTTCCTGATTTTCTTATTAATTTTGCTAAATTGATCTGCCTGGAAAACCTGAATACCCTGCAACAGTAGGAATGCCACAGTGGTACCTTGTAGAACTGCCTTTGCCAGAAGGACACGGTTAATGTCACGGCAGAGTGACACTTGAAGCTGAGTTGACCCTTGCATTTGGGTAGGAAACACAGCCAACCTCTAGCACTCGGAAGATTTCCCTGCAACGCTGCTCTACGTGGTTTCTTTGTTTCCTTAGAAACAAAGTGCTCTGTGGTGTCAGTCAAATAGGAGGTAGCGTATTCCTATAGCAAAACAACAGGTTAAATTCAGGATTACAAAGCTGAAAATGTAGGTAGAGACTAAAAGCATAAATAATAAGGAAATGCAAACGGGAAATGCACCATCATATATCTCCGCTATTTGTCACCGAGAGAGGGTTTAGTTTTTTTCTAAGGCATCTCTGAATTTTTTGAAGCCATGGAGCCTGGAGCTCCAGCAAACAGCTTCAAGGTTGTCTTATTTCTCTGAGTTACTTGGTACATGTCGGTATGCTTTAGTCTTGGTTTAACTACTTTTTGCCTGTCAAGTATGATTTATCCTTTAAAGAGAAGAAAGGACTCTTTCACCAAAATCTAGCTCTTTCTTTAAAAGGAATTCAATTTCTCAAAGCAATGTATGCTGTAATATTGTGCATAATGTTTGATTCTTTGGCAGTATTAGTTGTCTTTTGGTCTAACTAGTATGTAGAGATACCTTATTACATGTTAATAAGCTCTGAAAATTGTAGAGGTGGCTATGTCATCCTGTGTTCAAGTAGTGTTCTCTGTAAACAATGAAAATAAAATTTTCAATTGCTATTGTGTTGTTAGACTTGACTCACTTTCAGTGAACTCTCTGGCCTTGTGAATTGTTAGATTAATGTGGAAATTGAGAGAACTAAAACTGACTTGGATCTTTGCTCTGAGTTTTGACTTTTTTAGAACTATCAAGTATGATAGAATGTAAACTCCCCTGAGTGTGTGCTAGAAAGGAGATGCACATTTGTCATTTTCTCTTCATAATGGCTTATCTCCCTTGTTCGTGGTTGATATTTGGTTGATTTTTCTATTTGGACTCTTTATTCTGTGGCTACAAAACGGGATAATTGGCAGTAAGCGGGTAAGAGTACAGACTTATTTTTGATGGAAACAGAATGTTCTGGAATTGACTTGTTGTTCAAGCGAGTGAAGGTTCTTGGCATATTCAGGCTGTGTGCTGCTGGTGGGACGCGGTGGGCTGAGGAGGGATGTGCTGGTGGGATGTGCTGCCTGCTGGGATGCTGCGCTGCCTGCCAGTACCCAGGGCACGGTGGTGCTGTTTGAATTGCTGTGCAAAATGTTTCCCTGTGGGAATGTTGTGGGATGGGATTAATCCTAGTTTTCCCTGGCTGCTTGAGGTGTAAGAAGAGGCAGTTCCTCATTGTTGAGAAGTACAGAACATACTGTTGACTGGAGGTCCTGAGACCATCTCGGACATTTTCCCATAAGCTGTTTGGGTGATGTTAACATCAGGTTAAGAGAGTACTTGAGATGTGTCATCTTTTCAGAGAGAGGGCTGAGAGACACTTGACTGCCCAAGAGGAGGTACGACGCTGCCTGTGTTATTTGTTCCTCTCATCTGCTTCCTGTATTCCTGTGTAATGCTTCCTCTTGTTCAAAAGCAGTATAGCATTTCCTCAGGAAGCTCCTTCCACAGTTCTCAGCTTCTAAACTGTACAAGCAGCAAGCTAAAAGTCTTTCACCAAAAAGTAAATACCCTCGTGTATTTTCTTTTATTAATGTCTTTTTTCCTATCAGGCTTGTCTAACTGGGTAGTAGAATTATGCTACTGCCTTTAGGAATAATATGCAGAATAGCTGTAATAAACACACAAGTGTCTTTAGGGGAGTTATACTGCACGGCAGACATTGGTTATTCATTTATATTCTGCAGGAGGACCTGTTTTATTCAGAGCTCTTGGAAAATGTTCATGGAAACTTTTGGGGAATTAGGACAGCTGGTCTAGCAGACTCTGAAGTCTGCAACACAGCCGGCTGGCCGGCATTCCCAGTGCCAACTGGCTCAGTAGCAAGTAGAGATGGCAACTGTGATTTTGGCTTCGGGAACCCTGTATATATAGAAGATGACTTGATGACAGGCAAGACTCAATAAATCTGATGACATAATTGAACTCTGTTAACCAGTGTTTGGTCAGTTGGGAGTAAACATCTCCCTACATTTTAAATAAAAATTCATTATTTTGTTTCTCATTTTTTTTCCTTCAAGGCAAGAACATAGTAGCTGCCTCTCACTTAGTATCTTTTTTTTGTAATATCTGTCAGGACAGACATTATTTTAACAGATGATTGACTTAGATTTCAGCTACTGGATGTCATTGCTGATCTTTAGTCATTGTCAAATTTCAAATGAAATGTCATCTGGAAGTAAGTCATATGCAAAGCTACAAAAGTCTGAGTCTGCATCTGTCAGTAGACTTTGTGAATAATCAGATTTCCTGAGAGGCTGTGGATTTCTCACTTCATTGACTGATTCTTTGCCTTATAGTACAAAAATAGAGAAGGAGAAAAAAGAGCATGCTAAGCTGCATGGGATGATCCGTACAGAAATAAGTGGAGCTGAGATTGCAGAAGAGATGGAGAAAGAAAGAAGGTTCTTCCAGTTACAGATGTGTGAGGTAAGATTCAACGTGAAATTAATATTGCTCTGCTAATATTTCTAAGAAAATATTGAAGAACACAATTGTTTAATGGCAAGTATGATGTTAAAAGGAAATGCAGTTATTTGTGGACTCCATTTGTTAAAACACATGGTTTTTTATCCTGATGTGCTAACTTTGCAGGGGATTTAGATCTCTTCTACTTTCACTTAACAAGTAAATTGTAGAATAATAAATAATAATAAGAATATAAGAATAATAAATAAATAATGCAAAGCTCAATTAAACACTAAAAAATGATAATAAATAAGACTTTACACTACTACCTCACTGTAAGTTATTTAAAGCCCTAGATGATTCTCGGAATTGTTCCCTATGCTGACAGCTGTTGTGGTATTTCGAGGAGAGACTTCAGTCTAGCACACTGTTGGGCTGGTGCTGAGAAAAAAAAGTGCTAAGGATGGAATCTAGTTGTCTTTCAAGATGTTTCAGAATGTTTCTACTTTGAAATCTTTGTGATTTTGAAGTATGTTAAATGTGATGTGAGTATTTTTGGTTTGATTCGTTTAAGGATGTGTCAGGTTCCGTGGTTGGGAATTCAAGTTGCTGTGTTTGTTCTTTCGATGCGTTGACTCAAAGATATACCATGGGTGTTTCTTCTATTTTTACTATGGTGATTAGAGCTAATTTGCCTTGTTTGCCAACGTAGCTTATCAGCAGTTGTCCTGAAGACCACTTTTAGTAACTGCACGCACTTATACTGAGTAGAAAGGCCCCACATTCTTATACGGAGTCAGACTAAAGTATTCAAAACTGATGGAGGGATTTGAGTATCCGATAAACATATGGATGTTGCCGGCTAGTAGTCATAAATGGGGACTTTGTTTTGGTTTTGTTAGTGTCTCAGAAGTGTGACATATTGAAGTTGTATCATAAGTACAGGCTAGTTCTCTATAAAAGGTGAAAGTAAACTGAATATCAGGTGCCTAGAGCTCAATTTTATATTAACAGGAGCTAGATTGGTGATTCTTCTAACTAAACACTACCCAGTGCACATGTCTACATTTAGGCTAATCACCTGTTCACCTGAACCAGCATAAAAAAGCTGCAACATTGAAAGCTGGCACTTGGATACTGCTTTATTTTATTGGGCTTAAAACATTTAGGGTGTTCTGTGGGTAAGGGAAAACCAGGTGCATTAGAGCATTGCATAGAAGACATTCACTCCTTTGCTTGGAGGTCAGTGTCTAAGCAGGGGTTAAAAATTGTCGTCATTTAATGGACAGTTAAGGACTCCTGTAAATATTTGGTCAATCTTACTTCTGCTTGCATGGCTGACATCTTTTGTGCTGTGGCATTCAGGGGAGCAGCTGTCACTTAATGTGGACTTTGTGCCTAATGCAAAAGGACAGTAATTACACTTCTTTCTTAGCTTGAGAGTAGATTTTTAAAATCTCCTTTTAAACTAATATGCTGTAATTACCATGTATAAGGAATTGATAGAGAAAATAATAAAATCAGAAGGCAGATTTAAAAAATGGTTAAAATTATCCCTCACTTTTTTTGAGTAAACTGCTTTCTTCCTTACTGACATGTATTTAGTAATGAATTAAACAACTAATGAGACAGACACCTCAGTGGGCTGCTAGGATTAAGATTGGGTTCCTAAATTTACCACGCAAACCCTTTTATGCTTCCTTTAACACAGGCTTCCACCAGGAGCCATGAAGGATGTTTTAACAATTTGAACTAATGCTAGTGAAGTATCCCCACAGAGTATTAAAAATCAGTAATGACAAAAATTGCCTTTGTGTAATTAACCCTTGAAGCCACTGTTCGATGCATTCTCTTTTAGGTCTTCTAAATCTGCAACTGTTAAAGCTTTTTGAAATATCACTGAAAAACCAATACTTTAAAAATACTGTGACAGTAATATTTAAGTTATTTTGTGAATTTCTGTTTTAACAGTACCTGCTGAAAGTCAATGAAATCAAGATTAAAAAAGGGGTGGACTTGCTTCAGAACTTGATCAAGTATTTTCATGCTCAGTGCAAGTATGTTTTAGCTCTCTTTTTATCTACACAATAACTGGAGCAATGTTTTTTTTTTAAACTTCTGATGTCATCATAACACTTTTCTAGATTTTTCAAAATGTATCTAAGATTCAACTATTCTCGCTGATGTCTTCTCACAAATTGCTGTTATCATAGATTAGTCATTGTGTTTGCTACTGTATTCCAAAACACGTAATGAGCTTGATCTAGTCCCATAGAATATAACTCTGTTCCAAAGGAGTGATGCACAGGAATTTGGCATATTTCATAAACTACTCTTGAAACAGAGCTATTAGTTTGGTGTATTAGTTAGTGGTCCATTAGTTTTGACGGGCTTTTTTGAGTGTGTCTAGCAATGATCTAAATGAATTCTGTGCTCAAGAAAAATGAATTGTCTAAGCAGTGGGATAAAACTGTATTGAAAGAATCACTCTTTTTCTAATTAATTGAGGACTCAGTAGTAAAACACAAAGCTCTCATTAGAATGATGTACTTTTTTATGGTAGTCTTACAGATCAATAATACATCAATAAAGGCATAGCTATAAACTTGAACAAGCTGCTGTTAACCTGTTAAAATCAGTAAGTTTTTATCTTAAAAGAACAATCGGCATCTAAGCAGGTTTTTTCCCTATAAGTTTGCCTGTGTTGCTTTTAAAATCAATTTAATTTGTACTATGTCATTCATCTGCCCTGTTTGTTTAATGAGATTTCAATTCATGTCTGCTTCCCAGAGTGAAAATATTTTCTGTTGCAAATGATGGAGCGATTTTTAATCAAATGTGTGTGTAGCTGGGGTTTCTTTAAATTTATTTTTTAGATCTCTTTTTTTTTTTTTAAAGAGCTGTAATACTTAGCATTGATAACATTATTGTGCCAATACAAAAATACATATGATACAGTAAGATGTAACATATTTAGTTTGTATATAGGTCATAATTAATGCTTGGGAAACAAAAGGGTTTTGCTTTTTGTAGGAAGATTGCATCACACATTAAATTAATTGGCTCCAGGAAGTCACAATTATTTTATATCTACTGGAGCTTTTGTTGTTCTACAAATGAGCCTTGCTTGTTCTGGCCCTTTGAAAAGTGGGATGAGGACCTGTGTTTGAGATGAGAATGAGCAAAACTTATGTGGCAGTAGATTGTGGCAGTTCTGAATCTAATGGGGATTTTGCACATTAGAATAAACTATGATGGAAATAAAGAGGTGGAACAAAGATACATAAAAAATAAATGTTTAATGTTTTGAAGTTTATGGCATGGCATAATAATATGCATGTCTGCCTTTGGCAACTTTTAAAACAGAAAATGCAGGGTAAAGTTAAATAACAGTTTGCTTTTTTTTTTTCTTTTAAAGTTTCTTTCAGGATGGATTAAAAGCAGTTGAAAGTCTCAAACCTTCAATTGAGACCCTCTCGACAGATCTTTATACAGTGAGTAGCAACCTTTCAAGTTTGTGTTGTAAACTTAGTTTTTTAGAGTAAAACTGTGATCATTTTGGTTCAGGTCGGCTGAATGTAACAGTCAGCATTTTTAGACTGAGTATGTTTTTGAGTAAAGTTTTGGTTTAATATCATAACCAGAAGCCTCAGTTTCAGCTCGGGACCCCACTGTGTAAAATGTTTGGAAAACAGCCTTTGCTCTAAAATGTTTACTGACTAAGTGGAAAATAACATATGGTTTCAAATTGAACACAAGGAAGGAAGAGCAGTGTAAGGCAATATCAAAGTCTTAACCCAGCAACATCCTAACCATTATCAGGTTTTCTGAGGATGAAAAGGAAAAGAATCTCATCACATTATCTTTTCTCTTTGTGTTTTCATTCTTTTTGAATATTTCTCAGAAAAAATGAACCAATTAAGTAGCAAGCTTGGAAGGACTGTGTTGAAACAATAATATTATTTTAACCTGTGTTTTTCTTCATTCAAGATTAAACAAGCACAAGATGAGGAAAGAAGACAATTAACACAGCTTAGAGATATTTTAAAATCAGCACTCCAGGTTGATCAGAAAGAGGTGAGCATATAGGTGGTTTAGCTTTGGAATACCCATTTTAATTACTTCTGATGTAGTGTATTTGAAATACAATTATTTCAACTTTTATCAGCCATCTAAATTCTTTTGTCTGTTCATCTTTGTTTTGATGCTGATATTGAATGTTTCTGACACAGGCAGGTTTTTTAAAAATTAATTCCACTAAAAATATATGAGACTTGTGGCAGAAATTTCTTCTTGTTACCGATATTGCAAAAAACTTTAGATGGTGCACTGTGTAAACTAATGAACAGTGGTGTCTGTGCTCGGAATGAGAATGGTAGAACTTTGGCAATACCGAGGAGACTCCATTAGTTCAATCTTATCTCACAATAATATTCCAAACTATATAAAGATTATGTAAAGCTGAACTTCAAACCCCGAAACACCTCTTGTCCTCATCTGCAAAAATGACAATTAAGTTTGCTATTCTGCTGCAAGATGCCAGTTTTCAAACGTGCAAGAGCTGGGTCAGTTCAGCAATGCAACTTTTTTGAGTTTCAGTTATGATTACTGTTAGATTTAAAGAATTCTGGAGTAGTTTTGTTTGTCGAGCTCTGATCTGGAAGCCAGCATCTTTTGTATAATCTAACCCTAAATATTGGGTCTACTTTTGTTTCAGCTTGCTAGTGCTTCCTCTTCATATAAATAAATGCCAGCCAGCTTCCTTTGGGTGGCTGCTGGGCCATAAGTAAGTGATGAATGAATCCCCTCCCCCCTTTTCAGATTCTCTTTCTGAGAGGGATCACAATGAAATAGTTTAGTCTGTAGAGCTCAGACTTCCTTGATCTTTTCCGGTCTTGCTTTCATCTTCCCATAAGGGTTGTGGTGACTCCTAGCTATTATCAGTGGCCAGATGATGGTTGTTGAGCAACTTAATCTAGTGAAACGTGTTCCTACCCATGGCCTGGGGGGTTGGACTAGATGATCTTTAAAGGTCCCTTCCAACCCAAACCATTCTGTTATTTGGACAGTCTTAAACGTTCTTCACTTTGAAGTGCTGTTTGTTACCATGTGAAGTTTGTGATAATGACCAATGTGTACAGTCCCATACAGTTTGTAGGCACTTTCTTAGGTTCTGCCTGGCATTTAGGACTAAGTGGTGCATTTGCTAAATAACTTCCAAATTTGAGCTCTCTGGAATGAGACACCAGTGATCCTAGTGGAAATGGTGACTACTTTGGATTCACCATTGATTGCCCACTCTCAGTAAGGAGTCTTTTCTGTTTAGGGTGTGTTAGCAGGCTCACCACTCTTTTCAGTTCTTTCTTCAAGAGAGATAATAGAATGTTTCTTCTCTGTGTTTAACTGCTTATCAGTGATACTGATACTAAATGTATATGGAAGATGTGGTGGTGAGCACACTTCTTTTCACAGACTGAAAAATGTAATAATACACATAAATGTATTACCTGTTCTTGTTGCACTTAAAAATACAGGTGTAAAAAGTGCTTTTTAAAAATTCATTATTTATTAATTCTGCAAATTTAGATACAGATGCTTACCTGCAGAGCATAAGAAGTACTATAATGATTTTTAAAGTGTTTTGAAGACATCAGTTTATCAGTGGGATACCGAAAAATCCTGGTATAATTTACTGTATAATCTACTAGTATTATTCTTATTGCACTGTAATTTCCTTTACTATAACTGATTTCTTTTTCCTTCCTGAAATGCATTTACATTTTGTGACCGAAGTCTAGGAGAGTAAGTGTTACTATGTTTTAATGAAAATAGTTGGCATGATTTCCATTCAGATTTCAAGAAACTGGATTTTTCCTCTGAGCTTTTTTCTGTTGGTATGAAAAGACTGGTTCTTTTTTCCTCCTCTTCTATTTGTTGCATTACCAAAAAAAAAAATAGTTTGTTTTTGGGAAAGCAAATTGTTGTAAGACAAATTGGTGATTTCCTTTTCACTGGTTTTTGGAAATTAAATCCAGTTGCTTGATTTAATGTTCTTGCGAGATTTTGAAGAGATATGTATTTTTAATTAAAATGGACTTAATGTATGAAATAATAGAACATTGACAAATATTGTTTCTTTTGTCTTTAAAAAAAAAAAAAGTCAGTCACAAACCCTCATAGTGAACCTTTTTAGTTGTGCCTGTATAGATAGATTCCTCCTGCACAGAACTTCCTCAAACCTGGTTTGCATTGAAACTTCTTTTTGAAACCTTATTGTGTGTACACCTCTGGAATTTTTAATTTTTAAACTTTTATTTTTCAAACTGTAGAGCTCCTAGAAGTTTCAAGGTCAACTTTAGAGTCATATTGCCTTCATTTCTCTCTTCCTGTGTCCCCTCTGAAGGTAGCCTCACTGTAGTGTTTAGATTTGCTTCTGCTTCTTCTACATGTTTGGTAGAACCTATAATCCATTTAGGCCGCTGCAAAATAGGATAAATTTTGTGTTTCTTGACAAAAAGGACGGTAGCTGTGCTATAGGAGAGGCTGCCTGCAGGGGGTTCTGGCAGCTACATCTGTTGGAGGCTCTGTGGGGCTGTAATAGATGAGGGATGGATCTCTGAAACATCCTGTTGGCAATGATCTGCAAATGCAAGAGAAGCTCAGGCTCATGGAGAGCTGGAAGGGCTTTTTGGCAGCTTTATGCACAAGGATGATCCGGACAGTCTAAAATCCTGCTCCCTGGGAGCTGTGGAATGGCTAGCCAAAATTTCCTGTGTGTAAGTTAAAGCACCTTCTATGGAAAGTTCTGTTGTGTTCAAATAGTGGGGCCGATAAATAGGTTTTCAGAATCCCTCTTATCAGTAGCCACAGACCGTCTTTACAGAATACTGTTTTCATATTTCTTTCATTTTTAGTGATGCTGTTCAGCTTGATGTAGAAGTCGGTTGGTCTTTATAAGAGATCATTTCAAACCTCTTTATGGGCAGTGAAGTGATTCACTATAAGCACGCTGCAATGAAATGACTCGCCTGTTTTTTCTGTATGCCTATCTGCATTTCAAAGCTGATAAAGTGGACAAAGTTCCATTTCTTAGGCTTGTGTACTTCAGTCTGTTCTGATCTTGTGATGTTCAAGAGATGTTTCAAATGACAATACTCTGTGCTAGGTATGTCCTACGTCCTGCGGTGGGTCCATTTCCTCCCATAGGTAACGAACGTTGTTCCTGCTCCTCCGATGAGGCCATTGGGTCTGACCCCCGTTATCTGTGACTTGTACCCGTTATGTGCAATGTGCAAACCAGAAATAAGGGAAGATCCTTTTGGGGAGCCTGCATATGGAAAAGGAGCGCTGAAATTTCCTGGAAGAATGTTAATTGTGATGGTGATTTGTGGTATGGCATCCCATCTGTTAGGAGACAGATCAAAACCATGAATTTGCTTGTCAGAGAGGTGTAGAAAACCATCACCTTGCAATCACGTTGGACACTTGATTTGCGCACGGCCTGAAATGGGAATTTAAAATTGAAAATCTCCTTGTCTTGTCCTTAACTGCCTTTCATGAAATAGTATTACATTTTTTAAAGATACTGTTCGTAATAATGAATGTGTGGAAATACACGTCAGCTACAGCAGCTTCCTTTCTGGTTGAAATCAGGCAGGAAGCCTGTGTTACTGGTTTGCCAGTTTGGCCACACGCAGCAGCTGAGCGTAAACAACAGCGAGGGAGGGGAGGTAGCCAAAACGCGGCAGAAAACATTCCACAAAAAGTAGCAGCACAGTCTTAAGTAATGGGAATAGTGCCACGGGCAGGTGTTGGAAGTCATCTGGAATCTTTACATAATTGAGGATGTGGAGAACTGAAATTAATTTCCTGTGAGGCCTGTAATCTTCTTGGGAATGGAGTTCCCTCACTGAGTAACGGGAGGCAGGGACCAAGGCATTGGTAGGACACAATAGGCACTGTCAGATCAGATTTTCTTCAGAAGTCAGTAAAAGTATGCCCACAGCCGCTTTTAATCAGCGACAAGAATTCTTTTTAAATGTTGTGCTGTTTTTATGTTGAGCAGCCAGAGTGCAAAAGCAAATAATTCTGTGTAAACAGGCCAGAGAGGAACAATTAAATGGAGTGGTTTAAATCTGAAGGGATGCTTTGACAAGCACAGGCATTTCAGTGGTGGTTTTGTAGTGCCTTTTAAAGCCTCAGATGAATGTTTGCCGCTCTCTGATAGGGCTTCCTAGATCAGTAGCTGAGAGATGGGGAAGTGGGCACAGGTTTCTTCTGCTGAAAAGGAGCACCAAGGAGTCCTGCAGCCTGCCTTGAGCTCAGCTCATGGCTCTCAGGACCCCTGAGCTCAAGCACTATATATATTCAGGGTGAGCCTGAAATCCTGCAGCCTTGGAGGTGCAGAGTCCCAAGTGCACTGAACAGGGGTGCAGGTGGTAGCTCTGTCCCTACCATCGTATTTTGGTTTGGCTGCAGTAGTAGCTTTGGTAGCAGAATGTGCTGCAGGAGCTTGTAAAGCAGCAGCTTTTCATCTGAGCTGGCATTCTCTGGGGAAAGGCACAGCCCGAGTACATTCTTAGTTTTAGTTTGTCTTTTTCCCCTACCTATGTACAGAAATGTCTTAGACTTACACTACTAAGTGTTTGAAGCTAATTATGATTAGAGAGAACATATCTCCTTAATTCATACTTTTTTAGATCATTATATTTTATCATGTGTACACTCTGAAAACACAAAATTTTGTGTCTTGTGATTGTACTCCTAGTATATCTGAGACAAAAGATCTCATCTTTTTAGCAGAAGATTTTTTTAAATCAAATTAGTAACTTTATTTTTTAATAGCTCTTAAGATTTTGCTTACAATTGCTCAGATAGTCACTTAAGTGAACTGCTTTCTTTGTGGGTTTTTTCCTTGCTATACTTCTGGTTTCTGCCATAGGTAACACATAAGAGGTGTATTATGTCCATAGAACAAAGATAGTGAAAAAGAAATCAATAAATTTAAGTACTAGTAATTTTTATTGTATGCATTGAAAAATCCATCGTTAATGCTGCTAATACAGCATGACAAATCCCATTCCTCATTGTCATGTTCTTATTTTTTAAGAAGTTGGAGTCTTGCAGCAGTGCGTCCTGCCTCTGAGCTGGGTGGTTCTGAGAGCAGCGAGAAGGATTTAGTTAATCTTTGTCACTGCTGGTCCCACAATTCTACTTTGTTCAAAATATTTTGGTATAAATTATTCTTCTTATGAAAATAACTTTTCAGTTTTGCTCTGTGCCTCCTGAACTATGTTTCCAGGAGATCTCTTCTGCTTTTTAGACAGTAGCTTGACTCACTTGCCACAAGCCAAACCACTTCTTCAAATTTATTTAAGTAATTTTTCACAAGAGGAGTGCACTAGGAATTGCAGGTAATAATCCTTAGTGTTTATACACTGCAGTGTTTGCATGAGTTGGGAAGCCCACTACTCAATTAATTTTTGGGTTAAAACCCCCATATATTAAGGTCAATAGTGAAGCTAAATGAAATCAAGTAATAGGGTTTTGGCAGGTGCTGATAATGACTACTTCTCAAGTGCTTTTTGTGCCCTCTGAAAAAAGAAATAGATCTTGTTCTCTTTCATTGAGGAGGAAATATGTGCTTCGTTTGTAGGATTAGAGCAGGAAGGAAAGGCTCTGAAACTCGTTAATAGGTGGGATGTTTAGGTCGAAAGTGTGGAATGCATTACAGAGTCCTGTTCTGTATATTTCAGGATTCTCAGATCCGTCAGAGTACAACTTACAGTTTACACCAGCCTCAGGGAAACAAGGAACATGGCACTGAACGGAATGGTAGTCTGTACAAGAAAAGTGATGGGTAAGTATTGCTGGATTCTACTGAAAAAAAAATAAAAAATAGGTCCTAAGAGCTGAAGCAATGTAATGCTAAATATATTAAAAACTGACTCACTTTCTTTTTTTTTTCTTGCCTCCGCTTTAAACCAGAATCAGAAAAGTGTGGCAGAAAAGGAAGTGCTCAGTTAAAAATGGTTTTCTTACAATTTCCCATGGTACAGTAAGTATTTGTTTACAGTATTTCATGTACATGGTTGCTAATACAAAAAGGCAAACTATGCTGGTCTATATTTATAATTTGGAATTAGCTTGATGCAGTGTTTTGAATATGATGGATACATTTTTTAAGGCAGTCTTTCAGAAATATATCAAGACATACACAGTATCTAAAAATACAACTGTTTTAATGCTCATGACTATTGATGGGAAAAAAAATGGCTTTTTAAAATGACTCATTTAGTTAATGTAAACTGTTCATATTTTGCCAGATTATCTAAAAATACAAATTTTAACTTCATTTTTTTGGAAAGATACGGTTGGACATTAAGCCATCTTTTAGATATGGGTTAAACCACTTGTTGTATGTACAAGACAAACGGAATCTCTTCTCTCCCCCAGCGTTGCTGCTGTGTGGCAGTCTGTTAGGAAGGATGCCTTCCTGGGGAGTAGCTCTTGGGGAAAATCAACTCTGAAAGAAACTTCTATGGGAAGGATAAGAGATAGAGAGTTAGAAGTCCCTCTTTCTTTGCTCCCAATATTTTAAATGCATTAACAAACTTTTAATATTTACACTTTAAAGTTTTAAAACTTTATACTTCCATATTTCAGACCTTTTACACTTGGCTTTGAACTCGGTTGGTTTTGCTTTCCCATAACTTTTCTCTTTTTATATTGCTTTTTCAAAACTTTTAGGAAGTTTTCTTAAGGCAAAAATCAATTCAGTGACGGTATTTCCCATTCTTCTTCTAATAAACAGTCCTGTTTCTTGATCCTGTTATGAACTGTTCTGTTCTTCATCCTGTTATGCCTGTTGCTATGACTACAAGTTGACCCTGGCAGCAAAAATGAATCAATCTCTCATTTGTGCATCTAACCACAAGCCGTTGCCTTCTGAATTGACAACCAGGAGTTAAGGAAGAGTACAAAACCAGGCCTGCGAAGTAGAGTCATTACTATGGCTTTGGAATTGTCCACTAGTTTATATCCCTGTTCTCTTTTGAGTGCATATGAGTGTGTCTTTGTCAGAGAAAAGTCTGTTGGTGTTTGTATGCTGGTGTTTCCGTGTGCTGTAAATGCGGTTGGCATTGGACATGCTGTGGTGGTACCAGCAGGAGCGTAGCTAGGGCAGCTCAGAGCTGGCAGAGGCTACAAAATCCACTTGTGGAGCAGAATTTTAAAACTTTCACATGCAAGTACAGTTACTGAGTCTATCGAGATAGTGCTGCTGTTCTCTTTTTATAAGCTGTCTACCAGATGGTCTAATATTTTTAGAATCAGTAGGTTCCCACTGAAATCAGTGGAACTGTAGTTGGAATTCAGTTGCTAAGGTAGATATTTAAATGTGAGTTTAGATATATGGGTTTCACAGGTTTGGTCTTGATCTTTTTATATTACAGAATTAAAAGAGTACCTTTTTTTGTTTTAAAATACACTTCTAAAAAGTATTTTTACTCATTTGCTCACTTTTCTGTTATGTATTGATGGCAATTTTGTGTCAAAAATTAGCACTTGTTTCAGACATTGGAATGGGTAGAAGCAATTTCTGTCTCTTAAGAATTTTCTGGACTGCTCTGAATGCCTTCTGAGACTTCTGAAGCCACAACATTGATATTTAAGCTTTCTCAAGGTTGATATCTCCTGGTCTCTAAAATATGATGTGTCATTCTCTCTTCCCAGCTGTTCATCAAAATGAACCATCTCTCAGAAATGCAGTTGTCAGTTCTGTTTGCTTTATCAAATACAAATTTGTAAATGCTTTTTCTTTAAAGGCTAAGTTTTCTTCATGGATTTTTGTTCTTTGGTCATATGTAGCCTGTCTTTATGAGGGACTATTTTCCGGTTATGTTCTAGAACAGCTGTCTTCAGGCACTTGCAGATGCTGTATTGTAACTTAAACTTGCCTGCCAAGTGCTCTCCTGGTAGGGATGGGGAGAATGTGGTTGGTTCTCTGTAGTCACCCACCTGTAACACTAATACCTGTGTCTGCATCGACGTATGTGCAGAGGTTGCACTTTTAGATAACTAAAAGCTTCAAAGAAATTAACATTCATAGAGCAACATGCAAGGTCACGGTTGATGGAAAACCAGACACTCCTCCATCGTGTAATTATTAGCAGCTGGAAGTTTTCTGATATCTGCCTGACTGCGGTTCAACGAACATGGATGAGAAAACAATGATAGAAGCAGATTGAACCATGTAAATAGGAATTCCCAAGTGGTGTCTGGATCAAGAAATCACAAGGGGAAAAAACTTACATTTGATGAACCTCAGATTCCTCAATATTGATTTGTGTTTAAAGAGCTTACATGGAATTTGCTGGATGTCTGCATAAAAGGAATACAAGAGACCTGTTGTCAAGGAATCCTTTTTGTTATACTTTCTTTACTGCCGGAAACTTTAATCTACCATTATGATTAACAGGACAATCTGAAGGCAAAAGTTTCATATTTCATAAGTTATAGAAAACTAGTTAGGTCTTGAATGCACTTCAGATCCAAAGTTCCAGGGCAAAGGGATTCTTCTTAACCTGAATTTACTTGCATTTTTGCACAGAGCCTGCGAGAAAGGTGTGTACGAGTTGCCCAGTGGTTTGTTTATCAAATACTTACATTTTGATTTTTGTTTGCTTTATTTTATACTTTTGGTTTAGGCAGCTTCTGGACACTTCTTGGACAAACAGTTATATTAAAAATGTAAACACTGGAAACGTTAGTGCTAAGGATATTGAGTGTATTTAAATATAACCAAGAGAATGGGTCCAAGCCAGCATTTTCAAGATGTTCTCTCGTATGCTTCTGGTTACAAAGAACTCTTTTTGATAGGCCTAAATAATGAAAACTGTATGCACTTTTACTACTAAAAGGAATGTCTGGAATTTGAAAAGCTATTTACTAGGCAGAGAATACAATGTGGTTGTCAATTAGTTGTCAGCTTGCTGCCTCCTAAACCTCTCTCGGGTACAATTTATTTTCCACTGCCCGGCAAGTGACCTGCAGGTTTCTTGTTTCAAAGCACGCGTGACTTTGTTATGTCTGCTGCTTATGTTGGGCAAAGCATGAGCATGCTTTTTTTCAAGGACACCATGCTCCTCTCTTTTATTATTTTTTTTCCCCTAAACAGGGGGGGAAAAAAAAAGTAATTGTTTTCCTTCTTCTGTTTTTCCATGGTTTTGATTTTTTTTTTGCTGGTCTTCAGACATAATGATGTTGTTATTCATTGTTTTATCAGATTGTTTCAAGGAAATATCTTCAGCTGTGTTCTCCCTCCTTCTTTGAATTAAATGCTTCTTTCATCAATAAGTTTAGAAGAGATTGAGAAGATCTAAGTTTCTTATAATTCATTGCAAGTTAATTACATTATGTGGTAGTTCACCTTCGTTTGATAATAGTTCTTTAGATTAAATCTTATTTTAGCAATTTGATAGATTAAAATTGTTAGAACACAACAATAAGGTTGTAATGTGTTTATGTGTTTCGCTATCTTTATTATAGTACTCTCCTGATGATTTAAACAAATTATTATTTTTCAGATATTATTGTCTAAATTTATTTCCTCTCTAGTTAAATCTACTTTCTGATTTAGTTATTCTAAAAGAGTAAAACTAGTTATCCATCATAGCAAGTGCAAGTCATTCCTCAAGTCAAGGTTGCAAACGTCATCTTTCTAGGTCCTGACCCAGGTCTGTAGGACATGTGGGTTAAGGGAAGTAGTACCCCTCTCCCCTTTCAAAATTCTAGTGTCTATCCAGTTATCAGTGAAAAAAATATCCAAATATAGGAAAAGGTAGTTTACAAACCGCAACAAAGAAGAAAACATAAATCAAAACCTGGGTACTTTAAAAATTAAAATAAAAGCCATTTGTCAAGTCTTTTTGGCCAGTGGGATGTTCTCCTGTGTTTTTGGACTGCAGGGCTCAGCTAGTATCAATTTACTAAAATGTGTATGCTTTGTCTTCAAATAGGCCAACCGACCTCCAGCAAAGCTCAATCTGTTAACCTGCCAAGTGAAAACAAACCCAGAGGAGAAAAAATGTTTTGACCTCATATCACGTAGGTTTGTTGTTTAGGTCTTTTTACTTGCAGCTAATAGCAGAGGGTTTTGCGTTATTTCTGTAGATGGGTCAATAATCCACTTAAACATTTTTGCAATTGTAGAATGCTTCACTTTATAAAATGCCCTTCCTATGACAATTTACCATTTCACTTTTATTTTAGCATAATGCAACTAACTAAACTTGTTTCTTTGGAAAACCACTTGTTTTTAAAGCTTTCTTCCATTCTGTATCATTTTGTGCTGCTTTACAGTAGAATAACAATATTTTTTCTTGTGACATAACTCTATGTATTGAAAATGTCATAGCTGATTGTCTTGGAAAGTTATGACTTTTGTACAAAATCAAAAGAAGCTTTTAAACCATGACAAAACTTCTTAAAATTCAAGCATAGTGGTTGCTATGTAACTGAAGAAAATACAGAAAACATTTTTAGTTTTATTATCTCATAACAAAGGTGAGATAAAGAGTCCGCATATTAAAAACACCAAAACTGAATAATTTTGGGAACTGAATGGGATGATACAAAATCATATGGTAGAATGTTTCCTCACTGGGACATTTTAGTGTTATATTTATGGACTCAATAAAAATACATTCCTAAAATATATATCTCAAATTATTTGGGGAGAGGAATATAAATCTATCCCTATTTTTTTCCTTTGCCAAAACATAAATTTCTTGTCTGTTTATAAATGTAAGATATACTACTTCTGTTAATAGATTAGTACTCGTGTATGCAATATACAGCTTTTCCAGTACTGCACAAGCAAGTGGTCTTTCCTGTTTACTTTGCACTTTCTTTATTGATTACCTGATCATATTTTGCCCAATATCAGCTTATCACAATATCATCATTTGTCCATTCATATGTATGACAAGGCATAACTGACGTCTTAGTCTTCTCCAGATCACTTTTTCACTTTGTTTTGCTATAGAGTTTTAAAACATTCCTTGTTCTTTAAAACTGTAAATTTCTGTATGATGGCAGGATAGAAATCTCTCATTCTTTATCTATTTCCTTTCTGTCCTTTCATGTATCCTCACTCTCTTAACGTTTTCCATGTTTGAAAGTATCTTTCAATACCTTTGCCTGAATATTTTTCAAACTTTAGGAATCATATCTCATTTCTTTCATAAACTTAAAAAGCATTGTACTTTTTTCTTTATTAGTACACTATGATAATAATGCTTAGAATTATGAAAGTAGTAATAAATTGAAATTTTTTGTCTTGATTTAATTGAAACAGCTTGTTCTAATTGTAGTTTGGACTTTGTGTCTGGCAAATTTGTCTTGCCATTTTTGATTACTGTGGTTTTAAGAGCTCATTTGGAAACTTCAAATCTTTCTCATACACACAGATAAATATGGACTCTATACTCATCTCATACACACCCCTCCCCAGCAGAACTTAAAACTTGTGATTATTGAGGTTATATCTAGAACATTGAAAAATTACTATGCTCTTGCTTATGCGATAGAAGTGCAGCACTGAAGAAAACAGTTCCTGTTTAAAGAGCAACGAGCCACCTTATGTAAACGTGGTTGTAAACAGAAATGAACCGTAGGTAGTAAGACTGATAGACTTTTTGCCTGTCAGCACTCCAGTGATGAGACTGGAAAGCTCAGGAGTCATACATCAGTTCATTTTAGATTTTTCTGAGAGATTTTTGCAAAATCAGTTTTTCAATCTTTTTTTTTTTTTAATTGGTGTATGAATTATTTATTGTGCAGATGACAGAACCTACCACTTTCAAGCAGAGGATGAACAGGAATGTCAAATGTGAGTTACTTTGCTAATTTTGTTTTTGGTACTGGTATTCTACTGAGACATTACCTTGAACTTTAGAAGTGCTGAAACATTTAATAGCAAAATATTACTGCTATTTTAGATGGACATCTGTGCTACAAAACAGCAAAGAGGAAGCTTTAAATAATGCATTCAAAGGAGATGATAACACAGGAGAAAATAATATTGTCCAGGAACTGACAAAAGAAATTATATCTGAAGTCCAGAGGATGACTGGAAATGATGTGTGTTGTGACTGTGGAGCACAAGGTGACTCAATTAAGCATATTTCTAATTGGTAAAAATTCTATGTCTCATGAGAGTATTTAAGATGATGTTTTATGCTTTCACTTTTTATTTCACAAAAGATTATACACATAGTAGAATATGGTAACAATTTAATTGTGCTATTTTAATAAGATTGATTTGCTATATGCGTACTGTCAGTGGGGAGAAAAGTTACTAAGAAGCTTATTTTTCTCCCATGTATTTTGCTAATTGTAACTTTTGCTTATATAAATGACCTGAATTTATTTTATTAGCCCATACTTGATGTAAGGTTTAGGTAAAACTGGACAGCAGTAAGATACTTCAAGCCTTTTCCTAATACACCTCTCTCCTTTTTTTCACTTGTTATGTTTGACTTTGAGTGTGAGCCAGGGCATTTGTCTAAGACTGTGCTCATTTGGAAAAGAATGCACCTGCTGACTATGGTTTGCAGTGTTGGGTTTTTTATCGATGATTTTCTACTTTAATCCTCTTAAAATTATTTTTTAAATCCTGCCGTTTCCTGTGTTCTTTTATGTTACAGAGGCACTGCAGGACTTAGGTGGGATTTTTTTACCCGAAACTGTAGCTGAAAACATCAGATCTGAAGCTGTATGCACTTTATAAATCAATAGTAACTTCCAGCAATAGATACCTTATAAAACTATGGGAAGAGTCAATCCTGCTGTCTTTAAATAGCTACTACCAAACCTTTATCAAATAAATTAATTTCTAAGCTGTCTTTATCTTCAGAAATTAATTATTTGTCTGGAAGTTAAGGGAGTGTTATAGGAAGAATGCAAAATACCAGGAGAAAAGACAAGCAAAGGTAATGGGAGGAGAGGAACGAGCTTTAGTAGCTTTGAAATAGTTGAGTGAGAATTCATTGTAGGGTGGTGCTGTGTGTACTTCAGAATCACTGTTGCTTCACTTAATCTAAAGTCTGTACTTGAAATAAAAAAAAACCCAGACCTGTAGACATTGTTATTTCAGTTTAAACTGCACCTCTACCCCCAATTGAGAATGTGTCACACACTGGACTTTTTGAGCAGCTCCCCTGGAGAGCACTGTCTTTTACCAAAACAATAAAATAAAATGATCTTCACTTCCTTCACCATTAAAAAATCCTGGTTTATGTTGCCCGATAGAGTATATGTAAAAACATAAATTAAAAAACCTGATAATTCACGTATAGGAATCTTATTTTACAGAATTTCCTTTCTGTATACTACATTCTCCAGAAGGAAATAATTAACTGAAGAAATTTTAATTCTGTGGGTGTTTTCTGTTTCAGATCCTACCTGGCTTTCAACAAATTTAGGAATTCTAACTTGCATTGAATGCTCAGGAATCCATAGAGAACTTGGTGTTCACTATTCCAGGATGCAATCACTTACATTAGATGTGCTGGGAACATCTGAACTTTTGGTAATCAGATTGCTTTAATTAACTTAAAAATAGTACTATAAAATACTTCCAACACAAGTATATTTTTGCCATGATACGTTCTTTAATGATAAGTTGTTCCAATCCTGAAAGTTGCATCTGGATAAATGTAATGTAAGAAAGTTTAATTTGTCAATTTTAAGGGAACCTCCTGGAACATAGTGTCTTACAGTAAACTTTACCTGATCTTAGAATTCAAATTAGTAGAGGCTTCATTTTTTTGTGTGTTTCCAAGTCTTTTTACCCTTGGCTGCTTTTAAAAAAACACAGCTGTTTGACATATAAATGTGCCCCTCAGATTAAAAATTGAAGAACTTCACAAATACTTATGCCATTAATTATTTAGAATTATTTTAGAAGAGAACTTTAATCCTCAAAGGAAGAAAATGTATCCATCTTTGCTACACAAAAAGGTTACCAGATATCAGCTGCTCTGTGACAGTTCATATCTGTGTTCTTAACCAGCACAAAGTATTTTGCATTTATCGTATGAACTGGTATCTTGCTAGATTATTCTGCAATTACTTGTTTGTGTATTAAATTACAGCTGAAAACTGACATCCAAAAAGGTACCTAATCTGTTCATGGTCGCTGACATAGTAGCAGAATCGGGAATCAGAAACAAAAAGCCCCAACTCCCATTTCCCCTTGTCCTCCCAGTAGTATTTATTTGTGTGGCCAGTAACTGAACGTGTTTATTAAGCGAGTTGTGGATTATTTTCTTTTTTTTTTAACAGCTTGCAAAGAATATTGGGAATGCTGGGTTTAATGAGATTATGGAATTCTGTCTGCCAGTTGATGAGACGGTCAAACCTAATCCAAGCAGTGATATGTAAGTAAAGAGCCACTACTACTGAAAAAGGCAGGCATTTAATTTAATATCGCTAATGGGTTGTGCCATTATGGTTTGCACCAGCAGGACATGGAAGATGCATAATGTCTTATATATAGCCTTATAGCCAAGGGATAAATCTTTTTTCTAATGCTTTGCACGTCTGTTTTATTGAACTTTACCTGATCGTGCCTCCCCTAATAGTAAGGATTATCTTACCAACTCTCTGAATCATGATTTGTGGGACAGAACAAATTAAGCCTGACTTGTTGGGAATTTTAAAGACACACAAGGGTAGGGATTAAAAACATAGCTATTTATTTTGTGCTATTTAAACACAAAATAGGAATTGGAATCAGATACACATTTTACCTAAAAGATACCGAAGCACCTGGTGTTTAGAAACTACACCTGGGAGTCATGTCTGTGACTGTGGAATAAAGACAGAACGTTTAATTGAATTCCTCGAAAACACTGAACTGTGACGGCAGAGACACAGCAAGGACAGCTGCCTACTTGGCTGGGTACCACTCCACTGGAAAAGAGCTAGTAAACGATGCAGAAACAAATGCAGAAGAATTGGCTTTGGATTAAGCTGATTTTACATTATCTGGTCTTTCACCATTCTGACAGAACCAATGTTAAACCACGCAGTTCAAATAATTTTTTACTAGCGCTATCAATAATACAGAATAATAATACTAACAATAAAAATTAATAATTTTACTTAGTATAAGAAGACTTCTAAAAATGATATTTTAAAAAAATCATTTAGTTTGATATAGCTAAATATCAAATTTTGGGTTTTTTTAATGAAATGAGAACCTGAAGACAAACACTTTTTAAAAACTTTGAAGGAACACTGTTGTATACTTTGGGAAGAAGAGCTATCCTTTGGTTCAATTTGTTATTATTTGTGGTTTTTTTTTTCCTTTTTACCCATTATATGGTATCTAGAGGACAAAGTATGGCTTTGCTAAATGTTATCTGTGTAATATTGTGTACATCCTGGGAGCTGGTAAGCTCCTATCTTGCTGGGATAAGAAGAGAAGTAGGTATCAACAGCTCTCATCTATCTTCTCTATGTAGGGCTGGGTAATCTTGATCTCAACTACACACCAGAGTTCAGAGGGGAAAATTCATGGTCTGTCTTCATATTGAATATTTGGTACATCTTCTGTAGCTACATTTCATACTGGAAATACGAGACTGCATGTCTTACATGCATATTTAAAAGAAAAATTATCATAATGAATGAGAAATAGTCTTTCTCAGATTTTATTTCAAATGACTTGCATGTATTTATGGAAATCCTAATGTGTATCTTCTGCTAAATGTTATAGAAGTAAATTATATTCAATTTCAGGAATGCAAGAAAAGATTATATTACTGCCAAGTACATTGAGAGAAAATATGCAAGGAAAAAGCATGCTGACAATGCAGCTAAATTACATGCTCTTTGTGAAGCAGTCAAATCAAGAGACATTCTTGGATTAGTCCAAGTATATGCTGACGGTGTGGATCTCACAGAAAAAATTCCGCTGGCCAATGGCCATGTAAGTGTTGTAAATTTTACTAGACAAATAGTAGTAAGTGCAATATGCTTTCTTTAATTAAAAAGGATTATTTTTTATTATTTGAAACACTGTTTTGAACACTTGTCCTTTTGATGATGTAATTTAACAATAACAAAAGAGGATATTAAATAGTCTAATCTAAAATTGTTTACAAATACTATCAGATTTTAAATGTATTAAAGCATTAAAGATTACATTAAACATTCAACAGTCTATTTGTTTTCAACCCACTTGTTTGTTTGCTTTAAAGGAACAAAAGGGGAATCAATAAATATCTTCACAAGAGTTATTTTAATGGCAGCATGTCTGAATATTTTGAAATTAAATGTTTTAATTGACCTAATTTATGTCTTAATAAAATTTCTGCTTCTCTGTAGAACAGAAGAAACAAATGTGTTCTTTTATTTTATTCTTAGGAGCAAGATGAAACCGCACTTCACCTTGCTGTTAGGTCAGTTGATCGAACATCCCTTCATATAGTTGATTTTTTAGTGCAGAACAGGTAAGTGTATGGAAAATTACCAAAATGTTATTGATACTGGTTTTATGTCAAGTAATACAAATACTAAATGAATACAAATACTAGATCTAATTATAGTATTTTCAAATGTAATTTTATTCTTTGAAAATCTTATAATGAGAGAGGTTTATTAATACAGGGTAAGAACTAAATTTAATGAGCTTTTTTCTTCTTTCTTGTACTCCAACAGTGGCAATCTAGATAAGCAAACGTGTAAAGGTAGCACAGCCCTGCATTATTGCTGCCTGACAGACAACGTTGAGTGCCTCAAACTGCTGCTGAGAGGGAAGGCTTCTATTGAAATAGGTAAAAGGGTAATGTGTACTTCAATTTCATGTTTGTCACTGCTTCAGATAAGAAACAGTGAAGGTGGAATAAGAGCATTTTCTCCTCAATTGTTTATCATCATTCTGTGAATATAATATTCATTATAAAAAAAAAATCAATGTTCACTATTTCAAGTTTAAAATTGATTTATGCATTGCACTTGCTTTTTGAACAAATTTAGATAACTAGGTACCAATATTTTTAGCTGATATCTTGTTGCTGAGTTATATGCTGCCACTTCATGGCTATCATTCTGTTTATATGGCATGTTGAGTTGCTGCTGCTTGTCATGGTCAGAGGGTTGGTATGAAGGGAAGAGATAAATTTTGGAGTGTATTGGTCTAGTAGTTCACTTTGTACCTGAAGGTTTGTCTTTCTCTTTAGTAACGGCTATATTAATAGTGATGCCTATCATATTAACTTTATTTTCTTGCTGTAATATAGCTAATGAATCAGGAGAGACACCACTTGATATAGCTAAACGCTTAAAACATACTCACTGTGAAGAGTTGGTAAGTATTGCATCTTTCTGTGTGTTTGTGCATTTATAAGCAGAATCACATCTGGATATTTAACAGTTTACAGTTTGAATATTCAATTAATGTATTCCAGATGGAATAGTTGTATGCTTAGGAATAGTTATATGCTTATATCAAGTTATATGCTTTTAAGAAGAAAATTATATTTCTTTTTAGATGCTTTGGAAATGCGAAATTTCTTGAGTCCAGGGGATGTTTCTATTTGAGCTAGTAGTCCCAGATCCACAAGTGCCTGACTTCCCATTGAAATCTAATCACTTAAGTACCTTTTATGGGTGAAGGCCATGGACAATGGCCATTTTCTTGTTGCCCAGAGGAGTTGTGGATGCCCCATCACTGGAAGCACTAAATGTCAGGTTGGATGAGGCTTTGAGCAAACTGATCTAGTGAAAGGTGTTCCTGCCCATGGCAGGGAGGAAGGACTAGGTGGTCTTCAAGGTCCCTTCCAACCCAAACCATTCTGTGTTTCTACGAAGAGAAGTTGGCTGCCATCACTACTTTTAGTGAGCAAGAAAAATGGATTAGTGGGGTCAAGACCTCTCGATATGTGAATCTGACTAAAAAAACCCCTGCCATTGACTTGGAATTTCCAAATCAAGGAAAATAGGATGTGGTGCTTATTATCAGAAAATTGAGAATGGATCTACAATCATTAATGAAAAGCCTAGTTGCTTTTGATTTATGTGTGTCATGTTTGGTCAGAGAGCTTAATTCTTTAAACTTGCCCCGGTGCAGTAACTTTCCAGATTACTTTTATTTTAAAAACAGATTGCAGTTATATTTGTACTTAGAAACCAAAGTTCCTTCTGTATGTGGTTTTTGTTTGGTTTTAAATATGTTGTTTTAAAATATGTGCTGCACAAAACATAGGTATCAACAGTCTTTTTTTTTTTTCCCCTCAGCTTACTCAAGCACTGTCCGGAAGATTTAATTCTCATGTTCATGTCGAATATGAATGGCGGTTACTCCATGAAGATCTGGATGAAAGTGATGATGATGTGGATGAAAAGCTGCAGGTTTGTATCAATGCGTTATTATTTTTCTGTACACATATCTGTGTAGGCATGATGTTCATAGTGATTTCAATAACAATATTTTTTACTATAGATATGAAGATACTGTGAAATAAAGTTCTGTAGTAAAATGTAGTAGCTTAAATTCTAGTTCCTTAAATTATAGTTTGTCTTCTTTTTTACTCTGTAATATAAAGTATAAAACATGACCATGCGGTGATGATCAAGTTGCGATTAGCCAGATGTCATACCTTTTTCTTAAAGGAGTCAGTAATTTGTTTCAATACATAAGGAATATTTAGATTTGTCATCTGACAGATGAAGTGAAGAACTAACATGAGAGGGAAATTGCCTTTACAAAGAGAGGTACCTCATGTTTGTGAAACAGCTCCTGTTGATGGCTTCAATTTTGGAACAGTTTATGTATTGGTTTGTCTTCAGTGTAACTTACATTGTATATTAATAGCAGAGTAGGGTCTTTATTCTGAATCTTCATTTAAGTATGTTCTTGGTTTTCCTCCCTTTTCATACCTGAAATTTCTGGTGATGTTGTGGTGCTTTTGAGTCCAGAGTCACAAAATGGTAGAGGTTGGAAGGGACCTCTGGAGGTCATTTGGTCCAACCGCCCTGCTAAAGCAGGGTAACCTAGAGCTGCTTGCCCAGGACCATGTTCAAATGGCTTTTGAATATCTCAAAGGATGGTCATAGTACGAAGTATTCCAGTAGCATAGGAATTTCATTGCATTTTCAAAATCTAATTTCTCAATTTGGGGACCGACTTCAAAAAGTATTTGAACACTTAAATAAACAGTGAACAAACTACCATTTTTTTAATACCTGAACAACACTTAAAAATGGTTTGGATTTCTAGGAGACAAATAATTTGAAATTATGTATAGGCTCCTAAATACTAGTGACATTCTCAAACTTTATAATTTGAAGTATTTCATATAAATATTGCACACTTTTTTGTTCTTTTTGTGAGTGCAGTGTTAAAATTGCCCTGGTGGTTTAGGCCAGGTTGGCCAATGACACGATGACAAATGTTCTCCCTCACCTCTTGCTCCAAGAAGAAGAGAGAGAGAGTTATGAGTTCAGGAACAACTGAACTACTTTAATGAAATATTAAAAATAAAAAGGAAATAATGAAATAGATACAATATATATAAATAAATATACAAAACTGTATCAAGTTGCCCAGCAAGATGTCACTGGCAGACCCTGGGAAAGTTCCAGACTGGACTCCGTGAGAATGGGAACTGGATTCCAGAACTCACTGATGGGGATCAAGGCAGACAAACTGGCAGGGTCCCCCTCAGACATCAGTCATGGAAGAAAACTCCTTGAAGAGGAGCAGACCTCACCCCTTTGATCCCTCAGCTTTCATACTGAGCGGATGGGATGGGATGGGATACCCTATGGGTCAGTTTTGGGTCACCTGATCTGTCCCCTCCTCCCCAGAGGTGTAACCCCTCCATGGGGTAAACCCCCAAGTCAGCTGGCCCTGGCTGCCCCAGCAAGGAGGGGGAGCAAGAGCCTCTGTCAGTGAACACAACGTTGGCTCTGCTCCACCCTAAACCGGGACAATTGCTTATGCTTTTTCTGCTTCCTTTACAAATTGCAAAGACTACACAATGGGCTTTATATTATTTAATCTTCATATGTTAGCACAACCTTTTTTATCTTGAAAGTAGCTAACAAAACCCCCTTTCTCCTCTGGATAATGAAATTTATCTTCTTTCTATGAGTTTTAGCATTGTAATGCTTCTCTTGCAAAGTCGCCCATCTCAGCTAGGGCATGAGGAGTTGCTAATACTTAATTAATAATATAAAACCACGTCTTGTGTGTTGGGTGTTTCTTTGTTTTCAGAAATATTATCAGTCATAGGTTCATTTTCTTTATCCTCACAGAATGTCTTTTAAAAATGCTGTGTCATCAGACCATTGAATTGGCTTAATGTTTTGAAGACTAATTTTGAGACCAATAAGTTTCTTCTGTTGCAAAGTACCCTTTTTGCAAGACCTTGCTTGCGTGATTCTTTTCCCCATGTCCTGTCTCTTTAATCCCAGGTAGCCATTACCTCTGGTGCCTGACTTGAACTAAAGTTAGCAACGAAGAGCAAATAAGATGTCAGGAGCCATCCCTCTCAAAGCTCGATTGCTACCTTCTGAGAATTAAGATTTCTCGTGAGAATTTTGGTACCTGTGCAGGAATCTGTGAGATTGTAAATCCAGTTCTTCTGGGTGACCTTTCATATTATATCCCAGTACTTATGTATTCCTATATATTGTATCACCATCCAGATAATAACAGCAATAATAATGAACTTAAAATAGCTTGAAACTTTCTGTTATGTTTTAAAGATTTCATTTTTTCAGGCTGTAAAACCTTTTGGGTGCTTTAGAACTAGATATCTAGCAAATCCCTTTTGGAGGTACTCTAAATTTGTATTTTTGATCTGTTTCTCCCCTTGCTTCCATCACTGTTGACAATTGCCTTCTGCAGATGAGTGTTCTCTTTTTGGCTGGTCCCTGAGCTCTACCTGATATAGAAAGTTATCTGCTACTCAGCAACGAGGCTAAAGTAATGAATCTGCTACTTCACTGCCCACTATTAATAGGCTTATACTACAGGGACTTTTGAAAGGAGATTAAGGACTATTAATCACAGGCGAGTGTCTGTGACTACACTGGATGCAGTGACGATGCTGCTGTTGCTTAGGATCACATCAGAGTTCTGTTTATAGATGTCAGACTATTGCACTTGTCTCTCTTTCTGGTAAAGCAATTGAATAGATTTTGTAATCTTTGTCAGAAAAGGTCATATCTGAAATTGAAGTTCTTTTAGTCTAGAATTTTTCGTAAAAAAGAGAGGGTAACCTAAAAGACTAAGACAATCCAGCTGGCTCCTGCTGCTGTTCCACACCCCAGCTGCCTGGTCCTACCTCATCTTTTGCCTCCATTCTGGCACACGTTTGTCCTTGCATTGAGCCGTTTCACTTTGGTAAACAAGTGAAAAGCTAAATCAGCATTAAAAAAAAAAAAAAAAAAAAAGATTTTTCTGCCGATTTAGAAAGCAGAAGCAAGTGTGGGCTGAAACAAATGCCTGAACCAGGAGAGGGGAGGGGGCAGGGAATGGAGGGTGTCAGCCAGTGAGGAGCGAGGCTGCTAAGCCAAAGTAAAGATAGAGATTAATGCATCTGGCTGTCACGTACATCATTCTAATAAATCTTTGAACTATATAATGCTGTGCTCTAACATGTCGAAAGGCCCTACGTGATCAATCCAGACTAAGCATCGAGTATATTCAGAGGAAAATCGATTGCTTATTTGTGATACTGTTGGTGTAAATCTTCTTTCTGCCTAAATGCTATTACTATAAATGGTTATTTTATTTTCATACAGACAGTATGTCACCGGTGTGTTTATCTAACACTATTTCCAAAGGTATATTTATGCTCTCTGAGCTATGGATTGTTACAATCCATTCCTGTACTAGTCACATGAATTTATAGCTTCAGCTATTTTAATTATCATTTGGTAACAATAATTACTATGCTTGAAACAGGAAAAATAATGCTAAGTGTGCATAGTAAGCAGATGACTTGCTGTAAATCTCAAAGACAGCTAATTAGATCTCATTTGATTATGTGCATGAGATGAGCAATGTTCCATCCAAGCTGCCAACTGAAGTAATCTCCCGAACTTGTCCAGAGATATTAGTGAGCTAAAAAGAGCTCATGAAAAGTTTTGGCTCCTAATTTGTTGTAGGCTGAGCTACAGGCAGAATACTTAGATGCAGGTGTGTCCAGTTTTTGAGATCACAATCATCTATTTGGGATCTAGCGCTGCTGAACTTCAGATGAGGCTTAGGATTTTCTATTGTTTATTTAATTTTGAAAATTTTGCCTGATACTTTGATGCAGGGAAAATTTACTTGATCCAGCCTGAATATCTATATTGACTACCTATAGAAGTATAGTCCTGTGTGTATAACAATACAGTATTATCCTATAGGAGTGTACTACAGGAGAAAATGAGAAAATTATAATTGTTTTGAAATTTTGTTGTTGTTAATGTCCACAATTACGTTGTCTTGAAGAGGGTGGAATGTAGGTTTCAGATTATATATTAAAAGTAACAAAAATGCATTTTAGAAGTCATTTTTTCTTTCTAAAAGCTAATGACTTTCTATCAACTACTAAATAAAGTTAGTAGAGCTGATATGGCATCAGTGAGTACTTCTGTTCTTGTGTTTAAGCAACCCAGTCCCAATCGGAGAGAGGACAGGCCCGTCAGCTTCTATCAGCTTGGATCAAACCAACTTCAGCCTAATGTAGCATCCTTGGCAAGAGATGCAGCAAACATTGCTAAGGACAAGCAAAGAGGATTTATGCCAAGTATATTACAGAACGAAACGTATGGAGCAATACTCAGTGGCAGCCCACCTCCCATGCAGCCTGCAGTTCCTGTCACAAGCAGTGCACCTCCTCTACCTCCAAGGAATATTGGCAAAGGTACTAACACTAGAAAATATTGTTGCATGTTAGAAGAATGGGATCATAACAGGGTTTTTTATTATTAATACCTTTTTAGGTTTTCTTTTACAGTTATGTTGCACAGGTAAGTATTGGAACAGTGTATTGATGACTTCATTTTATATACTTGAAGTGAGCCTCAATACACTTAAACAATTTGTTAAAAGGGTGGCTGCAGTCAATTTAGTTCAGCAATTATTTTTTTCTGGTTATACCCCATCTTTTCATACTTCTGTTTCTTGAAGATGTCATTGTCAGAGTTCAATTTAAACATACAATTTCAATAGCATTTGGCTGCTGTGGAAAATTGTTTAAGACCTGAGACAATAGAGAGCGTATGCAGAACATGAGAGATTTTAACCTTGCAAAGTCTTCTCTTAATAAATAGAGGCATCAAGATTGTTGAAATAAAAGTGTAACTGTTATGTTGTGGAGAACTGGTTGATTTAGAGAACTGGTAGCTGACTGAAAAATGTGATTGCCCGTTACTGGTTATACCCTGATCAGCAGAACAATGTAAAATGTACATGTCTTGTTCCTGGCTCAAGGATGGTGTGCTTGCAAAATCTGCCATTAAAGCTGATGCTGTGAACTTCATTCTTAACTTCATATATAGTCTGTTTGGATTGTTCTAAAGAAGAGTAGAGAAATCTGCACAGGTCCTCTATGTACAGTACATTTGGTGTGTTTCATTGTTTGAATACCTTTATTAATCCATCAGCTTTTCTGGATGCTAACTTTATGTAAACTTCAAGAAGAATGACTATGTAAACGCATGCTGTTCTGTGGTGCTGAAACAGCCTCCGTACGGGGAGGTAGGAGCAGGGAATGTTCTAGGCATTCGTGAGTGGCTTTGCTTTTGGGAGCACTGTGCAGAGGTTGGAATGGAATACTCCATACACCAGTGACTGTGTCCGAGATGGCAAACTGAACGTCTGTGTAATATGAAAAGTCAGTAATTGGTCTCACAGGAATGGCTGCAGCGTAAAAGTCAAACTAAAATATGTTATGTGGGGGGCAGGAAAGCTGAGAGCAATAGAACAGCGTGGTACTGAGTTACTTCAAAAGGGTAGCATGAGACTGGGGGAAGTTTAGCAGCAGGTAAAACTTAACCAAGCTGGAATTCCTTTCATCTAACATTTTTGCATGAAGTCTAAGCTTAATATCTAGACACATTTTTACTTGATGGAAAGGAATGCTTCCCCCACCAAACAGGAAAATTCACCCAAGGAGCTTGCACAGTCTGTTTAACTGTTAGATTCTATCTCTACATTAGTAATGTAATCAGATAGATAAAAAGACTATTTTACCCTTTGATATTATTTTAACCATGGCCAACCATACTATTTTACCCTCTGTTTGCCCTTGATGAAATGACACTTTTCAAAGAGCGTAATTTTAATTTCATGCCCAGCCCCAGACTTCTTGGCACCAGTGTAGTGCAACTCGCGCCAAGAAAGCACGCTGCCTGACTTAGACTATTAATTCCTATTCTTTAGTCTAGCAATGTATTAGCCGATTATTTTATATTCTCAGTTAAAAGGTATAATAGTATCATTGATCTTAGCTTCTTGTTGATTGCTGATGTTGTTGATGTTATGCGTATGGTGTATTATTGCTCCTTTATCCTCTTAGCTTGAGGCTGTTCTCCAAGTCTTCTGAGCCTTTTATGCTTCTCCCTGCAACCTAGTATTTATCCATACCTTACCCTATTTCATCTTTTCTTAATACGATGCTCATGTTCTAAGTATGGAGAAGTGGCATGATATGTGCAAAATATGGGCTTTATGAAGAAAGCTTGTAGTATTTTTTTATGAAATGGGGATGCAGCTCCTCAGCCTAAGAATGGAGTTGTTTAGGAGGCCCCAAAGAAGTCGTACTTTGTAACTGTTTCATGACTAGTTATTATAGCTTCTTATTCGGGTTAAATTCAGAATTACAGTTTTGTGTCAATTCCAAGTCAAAACTGATGTTTTACTGGGTCAGCCATTTTCTTGCAGTACCTGAGAAGATTACAGCTCTCAGTCAGGGATTAAAGAAGGTAGCAGCACTTGCCTTCTGTTGTTTTATTGAGAAATTTCTGCTTTTTCAATTGTTGATGTGTTTTAAAGTAATGACTGGAGACAAATTTTACTTGGGTAAAGTGTTAGTAAGACTTTACCCAGAAACTTCCATGTGATTTTTTACACCAGACTCTGATTTCTGCTCCGGCATTCCAGCAGGATGGCAGTGGTTCCTGGTGCTGAATACAGTGGTCTGGCTGCACCATTTTTAAAAGCACGGGTGTGAACATTAACACTTGGTGCTTAGGGTAAGCAATAATAATAATACAGTATTTTCCTCTCTTTTTAGTTCAGCCTTCAGTTCTTGGCAGTGGTATTCAGACAATTTCTTCATCTAATGCAATGTGGAAGACAAATTCTTTAGGAGTGGAAAGTATAAGCAGGCAAAGGTCTTCATCAGATCCACCAGCTATTCATCCCCCTGTGCCGCCATTGCGTGTAACATCTACAAGTATGTTTCCACTTTCCCCTGTTTTCCCTTCTGCTGTATCTAATCATAGTTGGCTTATTTTTCCATTTTCACAACTCATACTTCCTCTTTTGGTGACTGTAGCTTTGGCCTATCGTTCCCATCCAGTAACTTTGTATGAACTGTCTTCTCTGTGAGGACTGTACAGTGTAGTGCAGGGGCAACAGGAAATACTACCTATTACTAGAGCTAAAGAGCTCTTCACTTTTGTATATAGTTTCAATGCTGCATTTCTCACTTGTTGTAAAGATGGATGTTACGTGTAGGCCTGAGGCTATGTCTCCACGTTGTGTTTGATTCTTGCAGACCAAGAAAAAGATGTTCTAATGCCTTGCCAGCTGCTGTTTTGGTGGTTTCAATAGAAATTTTATTAATTGCTGAACCTAATATGAATTTAGATGTTAATTGTAATAGGATTTTAAGAAAAGGCATTTCTCTAAATAAAATTTCTCAGATATCATTTACTCAGTTACTTTCCATAAAACACAAGCTGAAGGCCTTGATTGAGCAAACAAAATCGGCACTTTATTAAATATATTCTGATCTACTCTTTTCAAGAATATGACTGACTTTGGTAAGAATTTTCTTTGCTTGTACTTTGATCCTTGAATGAATTGAAGAACTTGTGACCTCTCTGACCTTGACTTAGTGTAACAAAAGGTAAACCTCTTTCCAAAGATGTTGTCCATCCAATGGAAGGGTTGCTTTCTGTTTAAGTTATTGATTACATTTTTCTTGCATGGGGTTAACTCCTGTAACAGCAAAGCCTGTGGATGAGAACCCAAGAAACAAAATGGTAAATAGAAATTTAATTCCCTTTCACTATCTAACTTTCTTCTCTAGATGTGCTTTCTCCAGCACCACCGCCCCCGGTGGCAAAGACAGCCAGCATCATAGAAGCTTTGAACCAGCAATCTAAACAACAACCAGCTCCTCCACAAACTAAGCCAACCCCACCACCACTGCCCCCACAGCCTCCTAGTAGAATCTCTCAAAGAAAGCCTATTCCTGGGTAACTGATGTCATTTTACTTTTTAATGTAATTTGTAATTACTAATAACTTTTCCATTTTATAGTATGTGACGTGCAAGTCAATTTTAAAGCATGCCTACTTTTGCCACCAATGTATTCTAGAGCATGTGAATGAAGAGAAGGCAGAAACTAAGGGAGCATTACAAGGATTCTCACAGTAAGAACAAGACAGGCTAGTGATTTAAGATTTTATGACTTCCAGAATATCTACAGAATGCTTAGTGGGGATGGAAATAAGAAGCCACAAAGAATAATCCACTTCTAATTCTCGTATAATAACAAAGAAGAGATAATGGGATCTTATGTCTGATTGTGCCATTTACTGTTCATATGCTTTGCGTAGGTTCAGTTTCATTCAATATTTTCATTTGTGGCAGAAGTAGAGAGACCTGGAATAGAAGATATAATTTTTAAATTTGCAGGAAAGAAAGTTATGAGGGATTAGTGTACTGGAAAACAGGATTATATCTAAAGCAGCCTTGAGAAACTGGAGCAATAGTCAAGGGAGAAGAAGGGTGTCCTTCAGTAAGCAAGACTTAGTACTTAAGAAAAATTAACTACAAAAATGAAGCATGGAGAACAGCAGAGTATGGTTAAACAAAAATCCTTAAGAGAAGGATATGCAAGGACATAGTGAATCATACATGAAAGTAAGTCAGGTGACTCATGCTGTTATGGAAGAGTCAAAGAGAAATAGCATCGTTTGATTATAGGCTGCAAATTACATGAATTAATCCCTCCAATTGACTCGACATCAGTAATGCCTCAGCTGGACTCCTGTGTTCAGTTTTGGGTATTGTAGTAAAATAAAGGTACAAAATAGTGAGGCAGAAACCAGGGGAGATCAATCAGGTAATGAGAAGTCTAGAAAATACGGCCTCTGAGAAAAGTTTGGAAGAAATAAGGTTCTCTTATATTTTTTTTTTAAAAAGGAATTGTAGCATAGATACACATCTTCAAATATGTATAAAGTGCTGGATTATGCCATTCCTTTTTACATCTCATGGTGGCTCTAAAAAAGACTTGTAATTCAGTTAGACACTAGGGAACGCTTTCTGAAAGTAAGCATAGGGATGCATTGTAGTAACTTGTCTGGGAAATTTTTGGGCTCTCTGACGCTGAAAATTTGGCAGACAACAGCCTGTACAAACTTAGGTAGTTATAACATATAAGGACATGTATGTGTGGATGTGAAATAAATAATATATATGGTTGATCCTTTGTGAATGAGAGAGGCAAACAACCTTTGACCTTTGAGCTCCCTTTTTAGTCCTTTGATTGCATAGCCCAGAGAAAGAAAAAGGGAGAAACAACTTGCTGAAGCTTGTTATAATGTACAGACTAATATGGATAGATAATTTTAATGAAGAATTTTAAAATAGCAGTGAAAGGAACTTCAGAACTTCAGAAATTCAGTTCTGCTCTCCACAAATTGCCATAGTTGAACCTATATTATTATTTTGTCTTTCTTTTTTAAATTAAGTGCAACTTATGATCAATGTAATCAAAAATACAGAAGCAAAGTACTATTTCTAAAAGCAAAATAGCTGTCACTGGAATATACTGAAGACATGATAAGAATTTTATAATTTTGAAAATTGTCTGTATTGTTTTGATTCAAATTCTTGTTTGCTTCTTAAATGGGTGAATTTCTAACTTTCTCCACAGGATGGAGAAGTCATCTGGTTTAACTAACAAAGGGCAGTCCAGAGGACTTGGGTCTCTACAACAAACTGGTAATTGTGTTTTAGAGATTTATTTGATTGTAATTAAGGTATCATTATGACAGTCTAAGGAGGAGTGTTGGTTTTTTTCTTATTTACCTTACACATTTACATACAGTCATTACCACCATTCTTGTTGTTTCTTTTCTTGATCGAGGCCCTGATTCCTCAAACTTTTTCTGCATGAACAGAGTTACGGGCCAATTAATGTAAATAATGGGATCATGTAATAAGGTATAGAATCACAGAGTGGTTGAGGTTGGGAGAGACCTCTGGAGGTCATCTGGACCAACCTCTCTCCTCAAGCACGGCCACCCATAACTGGTTGCCCAGAACTATGTCCAGATGGCTTTTGAGTGTCTCCAAGGATGGAGACTCCACAGCCTCCCTGGGCAACCTGTGCCAGTGCTTGGTCACCCTCACAGTAACAAAGTCTTTCCTGATTTTCATGTGGCACCTCTTGTGGTTCAGTTTGTGCCCATTGCCTCTGGTCCTGCTTTCTAGCTTGATGGCCACCGGCATATGTTGGTGCATGGGCTTGTTCATTTTCAGTGAAGGACTTTGCACTTCCTTGCTCCAGATTTTCCCCTGCCTGTGAAACCTGGGATTCCTGAAGACAGGTCTTGCTAGTGAAGACAGAAGCAAAGGTGGCATTCAGTGCCTTAGCCTTTTCCATGTCCTGTGTGACCAGATCCCCCATCTCCTTGAGCAATGGGCACACGTTTTCTCTAATTTTCCTTTTGTTACCTCTATATTTACAGAAGCTCTTCTTGTTATCTTTGGCATCCCTTGCCAGATTTCATTCCAGTTGGGCTTCATCTTTCCTATCCTCACCTAAGCCCCTCTCAAACAAAGGATGCATTATGAAAATGTTAGTTAGTTTACTCTCCTGTTTGCATGTGTCATAAACAAGGTAATAGATACACGCTTTAGCGCATGAAAAATGTGCTTCAAGTTTGAAAATCTGAAACTCAAATAGTGTCACTTTAATTAAATTGCAAATTGATATTGCACTTTTCATGTTAATGAACCAAGTTCATTATTCAGAGTTCATTATTGATTCTGCTCTTTTCATCATTCAAAGTGATTACTACTTTGGGACATTACAATAATGCCATCTCAATAAAATGTCCAAAGTAAAGTTTGTGTGGATTCTGTGTTGGTTGTAGCGGAATTTCTCCTACCCGGTTTCCCCTTCCACTGTAGGTGTTATGTTCATTGGTCCTTACTGTGATTCTTTTTTATTTCCCCTTGATATACCCGGGGGAATTTGCTAATGACTATCTGCCATCTGCATCAGGAGTCTCCTGTGAAGGATACAGCATCTTGATAATGATGGTCTTTACTAGGAAAGAAAGGTTCTAAAAGCACACAGTCTGTAGTGAACTAATGGGGAAAATGGGATATTTGGTTCTGCTCCCGTCTATTTTATAGGCTTTTTTATCTTTCAGCGTATTAAAGGTCCTAGGTAATTATCTTTGGGAAAAGAGGCCTTTGTTTTTGTAAGGAAAAGGACAGAAAAAAATCTGTTCAGTTATCTAGCGAGAACCATTAAAAATTAAATACTAATGGGATATAAAATTATTTGTATCCTTTAAAGAATAATTAATTTGGTTTCAATTTGTATCATTGCTCTTACTTTTTTTTTTTAAAGCATGCCTAGAATTTACTTGTTTTACTTACCTTAGCAGCAGGAGAGTCGTCTTCTGTATGCGAAATTCCAGTAACACAAACTGGTTCTACAGCAAATCCTTTGGCACAGATCCAGCCACCAGCACCAATGCCAAGGAAATCACAAATAGTAAGTAGACAGTCTGGGGTTTGATTTTATTAAATCTTCCGCTTTCTGTCAAACACACTGTTGACATAATAGTGTATCCTGTTATGGAGAAAGTGTGAGAATTATGAGAAATACAAAGCCTGTATCCTGTGTTAAATATGTGCGTGACTTGTACTAATTATTTATGAAAACTTTGCTTTTCTTGCATTTCCTATTTTAATTTTCAAAAAACCCAAACAACAAAACCCAAAGAGAAACCAAAGGAAGTGTGGATTCTTTGCTTGTGTCCAAATGTGATTGACACAATCCATAGAGTGTATGGTTTGACTTACTGGAGGTAGGTGAGCTTCGTGAGTGAGTTACTTGTAAGATCATATGTAACTTCATTCTTAAACTTCAGTGAAGTAAGTACTAAGGGAGCTTTTGTGATTTCTTTTATGATGGAAGTAGATACGTTTACTCATAGTTGTTCACATTGATAGATCAAATGGCTCCAGACAAGACTAGTAAGAGCCAAGCTCAAAACAAAATAAATTGGTTCCTTTTGCAGTTGGTGCTCTTTGCATCTCTGTCGTGCTTTCACTGCGTGACAGGAGAGAAATCTCTTGGTAAATTCACAGAAACTTGAGACATCCCCAACCAGAAGATGGTTGCATGGTGAAGGGGAAGGCTGGAAATAGTGTATATTCTTCTCCATCTTCCCCCAGCCTTACAGTGACTGTTAGAAGAAATACTGGATTTAGATGGACTCTTGATCCAAGTGCATGGCCATTTTGTACTCTTATTTATAATCTAGGACCATGAAGGGTAACACACATATTAGTGTCAATACCTGTATTCTTATGCTGGCGGAGGTAAAGAGGTGTATTTCCAGATGTCAGTTGAACTGTTACATTATGTGTAGTTCAGGTAGGTCTTTAGTCCTTGTTCCAATTTCATCTTGCTCTATTGTGTGATATACATAAAACATCCATATGCCTGATTATGATAGTATTTCCCTGCAGCAAGCAAATCACAATATAGAGAATCCATACTTTCCAAGAAGCTGTATGTGAGTAGGTCTGTGCTGTTTCATGCTTTACATCCTGTAGGAGGAGCCTGGTTCAGTAGGTAAATACTAAACTGAGAGGCAGGAGCTGTGCTGTTCCTGGCTCTGCAATTGCCTTGTTAATGGGCTGTAGTGAAAAGACCTGCCCTCTTCAGCCCTCGCCTCTCTCCCTTCATCCATTTTTCCTTAACCTTGTCTACTGAAATAGCAACCCCCCGGGACAGACGGCCCTGTGTTTGTGTGCATGGCCTTGCACGTTTGTGTTGACCTCTCAGGGTTCCTATTAGCTGTTTCTCATCTGATAATGCTGAAAAGCCACAGAGACATCCGGAGTTCATATTGCACTAGTTAGGAGTATAAAATCTGCTTTTCTTGCCTCCCCCACTCTTGTTCAGCCAATTTACTGTCTGTCCTGCATCAAAATAATTTTCATGGTTTAGGCCACAATAAAATTAAATGGTCTGATGAATGTAAAATGGAGTATCTGTCCCTTTTGCTTACATGCACCAAGGGAGTTGCCATATTAACTTTGTGAAGTTTCTGTTTGTGTTCTGGAATTCAGCTGTGAGCACGGGCTGCGTCCTTTTAACTTATCCATTGATTCTGAAACAGTTTCTAGTTTCTCACCCAGCTTTCTGTATAAATTAATGTTGTAGTAGCTTTCTGTCTGGTTCTCTCCTTTTTCATTTTGTGGGACAAATCGCTTTCGTTATGAGTGAGTGGGCTACCCTGGCTAGTTTCTAGGAACAGTCAGCATCTCTGCTGCTTAATATTAATTGCACATAATCTGAAGAACAGATCTGACTCTCCAGATGTCTCTAGGGCTTCAGTAGGGTGAATTTGGTGAGACACAGAAAATCAGCTGATTTTCTTCTCTCATAGGACAGAGAAGTAAGGGAAACCTGGCTCAGAGAGTGTGTGCTAGTTAAGGTGATTTAGCAAAATCAATCTAGCTAAAGCATCTTAGCTGAGATTTAGTCAAGGGCCTCTCAGCTAAAGAGCTTTAGCTAGATCAGTCTAGCTAAAGAACTTGGGCTAAATCGCTCCATTTAGCCTTATACTCCAGCCTTTTTTGCTGAGTCTTTACCCTGCCAGAGGCCAGCACAGGTTTAGGAAATTATTGCAGATACGGTCATTGAGTAAAGAAAAAAAAAAAAAAAAAAAAAAAAGCTAGTTGTACATGCACTTGTAGCCAGTGGCTTATCTCCTATACAGTGTGTTTGCCCAACAGCCTATTTTTCAGATGGAAATTCCTGATGTGTCTTTTTTTTTTTTCCCCATTGTGTATTTTAGATTTTTGAAACCATATTGTAGATACATGGGAAACTTCCCTGCAATATTTTAGTCTCCTGGGAACGGGATCTATTTTCATTTCCTTGCCTTCCAAAGAACAAGAAATACCTGTAATTGCTGCGCTTTGAAGTTAGTAATTACTATCACCGATATGAAGCTTTTCCCTCTTGACCCTCGAGGTGGTTGTTTCACCCTGTGCCCCGGCTGAGCGTCTGGCAGGGTTGCTGTGACACAGCAGGAGGCTGCCAGCTCCCGGGGGTGTCCCCACAGACAGGCCCCCAGGGCACGCCTGCGCTGGGAAGGGCAGGGGGGTTTATACGAAAATGCAAATGGATGCTTACGGAGGAGCATAATGATCATGTACCTCCCTCCTTCCCCATCCACATCCCCTTTCTCCTGCGTGGTGCTCTGCTCTAACAAAAATGGCACATGAAGAGGCTGTCGGGCAGCACAGGAGAGTGTTTTGCTGGTGGAGAGAAGTAGATTTGTGAATGGAGTCTCTTCTCCCCTTACAAGCTTCTCGTTCCATGGCTGACCTAATCAGAGACTGGGATCAGTCCCTAGGGGACTCCAGGGTGATGATGAGATCTTCTTTTCCTTATCCCATCTGGAGCCTCTGTCCCAAACACCCACTGCATTAAGACACATCTTTTGATCTAAATGGCACTTACAGCTCTGCTCTGGCATCTTAGGGTAGAAAGGTAGAAATTTTGCTGGCTATGGCTGGGCAAGCTGGGGAGAAGGGTGGATTCAAGGTAGAAAGCTTATGCTCTGCCTTCAGGTCCTGTGCCTCTCCGCTCCTTGCATGGAAACAGGATGCAGGTAGCATTGGTTTTGGCCTGCAACAGAGAGTGGGGAAGCTGAAAATAAATACAGCAGGAGGTCGGGTTGCACTGGGAGAGGTGTGAGATGAGATTGGTGGATGCTGTGATACCAGGGTGAAACAATTTCGGCATCACTTCAACCAGAACACACCTAGGATGGGAGTCCCACTCAATATCGAAATATTACAACTCCTTACTGAACTTCCCTGTCGGAAGAGCTGACACGCCGCTCCTGTGGCTTGCAGGCCTCAAAGCACTATGGAGAGGCAAAGGAGGTTTTTTGGAGGGTTTGTGCACTGCTGAAATGGGTTTAGCAGGTTAAGAAGGGGCACTTTGGCAGGTGGCTCAGGTCTGTCTCTGATAATGCTGCTGCTGTTACACTTGCTGCGTAGCACTTGATCTCGATCTCCCCGTCTTCTGAATAAAATCAAACTTGCTGCAATGTTGCAGAGCTCTGAAGACAAGTCTGGATGAGCCAAAATGGCAGATTGCTAAGGGCAGCCTGGCCCCCACTGGTGGGGCAGTGCTTGTGAAAGGCCTCGGATGCTGCCGAATTCAGCCTGAGGCACGAGCACCCAGCATAAAAGGTGTAGCTGAACTCTAACCTATGAAAAATAACGGTTGGAAGCTTCCGAAGTGTATTCTGTCTCTTCCATGCTCTATTATTAACATTTACTTATTTTTATATTTCAGTCAAAAACTAAACCCAAGAGAGTAAAAGCAATTTACAACTGTGTAGCAGATAACCCAGATGAGCTAACTTTTTCAGAGGGAGATATTATTGTGGTTGATGGTGAAGAAGATCAGGAGTGGTGGGTGAGTATTTTGTGGTTTCTATCAACATACTTGGGAAGAAATAAATGAGATCTAGAGGCCGACAACTGACTTCAGAAGATCCCTTGTTGCATTTTTAAATAACAAGAAAAGTTTCACCTCTGCTATTTGCACTCCAGAGCTTCATCAGCCAGAGCAAAATCTTGGGAAATTGTTATGCATTAAAACATTTTCCCTACACTGTTAGCTAGAGAAGAATAGAACTTCAGAGTGCATCTAAATTGACAATAATGCTGTATAAACACAAACAGATTCATGGAAAACCCAGAACTGTTGAAGCTTGATCCATCCTTGAACTTTTCAGTGGTTGTTAGGAGGGGGAAGCAGCAGCAATTTAACAGAGGCAGGATATGGGCTGCCAGGCATTGCAGAACACGCTGAAATGGTGTAGCAGTGGCACTGTGTCAAGAGGTGTTACTTTCAAAGAACAGCATAAAACAGAATTTAAAAAAAAAAAAAAGTCTGTAGCTGAATAACAAATATACCTTGTAGGATGGAATTTTCTGATAATATTTCCTGTTTGCAAAAGAAACAGAGCACCGCTGCAGGAAAGATGTAGGGAGAGGGTTGTGGGACTGCTGGCAGGAGGTCTCTGGTGGTCATTGTGGTGGTACTGAAGTGCCCTTTGAGATTAACTTGAAAACTGTCTGGACTCTTTCAGATTGGCCACATTGACGGAGATCCCAGTCGGAAAGGAGCTTTCCCTGTATCATTTGTGCACTTTATTGTTGATTAAGTTGCTACTGATAAGTGGAGACATTTCTCATTTCCAGCAGTCACAGAAATAAGTTTTGCTCTATTTCATTTCATCTACCCATCTGCAGACACCTTGCCAGAGCACTGCCCAAGTCCTAGGTACTGTAGCTTACTTTTCTATTGCCATTGTTCTGATTTTGGGACTTTTAAAACTTTTTTTCTATGTGAAAACTTCTCATGAGCAGTTTACACTTTTTTTAAAAAAACAAAACAAAAACAAAACCAACTCTTGCTGTATTTTTCAAGGTGAACTGAAAAGCTTTAACGATCAAAATCCATGTAAGTGTGTGAACATCACAAGGTGATGAATGTTCTTTTCAATCAATTCACTGTAACTCTATTCTCCCTCTCGTAATGTGGCAGTACCACGGCTGAGTGTTGCTTCCCCAGTCAGAGAAGTGGTGTGTGTCTAACAGGGCAGTGAATTTATTCCGTTCTCAACACCATTTGAAGTGTTGGAACCCAAACGCGCAAGCTGCTGCGTAGTTCTCAATGGGACTCGTCCAGCATCTTGCCATTCTGGCTGTCACCCAGGATGTCAACCATTGCAAAGGAACAGTTCTATTCGGGTGTCTTTGGCCAGGTAAAAGTGAAAAGGTATTTCAGTTTACCACAGGAGAAACTTCTTTCTTTCAGAATGGATGTAGATATTTGCTTAAAGTTATCCGAGATCTGTGTTAGTCGTTGAACTTCCTAGTTCTAATTTTGTGAGCTTGAGACTGTTTCATTTTTCTATGCTGCACGTGTGTAGAACCTGTTTTTTGAATGTTCTTTATGTATGTTACATCCATTTCGGTCATTTAATGTGACTACTGCTGGTTAACTAAACTATGGCAATATTAACGAGTTACTTCATTAACTCGAGGCAATGAAAACTGCACTTCCTGAAATGTACTTAACTATGATGATGGATTGCAGAGCATTTCTTACCCTTCTCTCATTCTAGTGGTTAGACTTCGCTTTTAAATTTCTTGAGTTTTCTTAAACCATCCAGCAACGTGTTCACAGAGAGAACATATTTGGTGGAACACTTAGATAATTATCCTTGGTCAATAAGGTATCCGACACCTCACAAGTACACTACGTTAGGTTTCTGGTTTTATACCGTTTGTGTGCCACTACCTTGCAAACAATGCTAGTTTGCTGACTCACTCTGTATTTATATGATAGACCCACGTATATGGTAGCTACACTGTTGTTAAATTTGTTTTACTAATTTGTGAACAAAGGCTAGGCCATGGGTGGTTCCCGGTTGGTTGATGGGATGCAAAACACCAATACTCCATCTGACGGCGTTTCGGCGCTTGCATATTGAGAAATTGTACCGGTTTTTGCTTATGCTACAGGAAAACAACTGAGGGCATAGGATGAGAAACATCAATGTCTAGGTCACATTGGCTTTGATCACGTTTCGTGACTATCGTATCTCTAGGTTTATCCAGAGAACTTTGAGTTTCTGACAAATGGTGTTTAAATGGGCCTGTGTCACGAGGAACGGAACGGGAACAGGGCACGGCCAGATGGGCTGCACGGGGAGAGACCCCCAGGGCCCGTCCCTGCCGTGGCCGGGTGGGCTGGCAGCCTCCCACCAACCACCCCTGGGCACGGCCAAGGGCACGGAACCCTCCTGTCCTAGATGCTGTTGCTGCAGTAACAATGGGGAACAAACTGGAACGTTTTCGAGATGCTCTTGTTGCAAGTTGAAGCAAATTAGTCCGTATTTTCAAAGCTCCCAGTAAAAACTAATAGAGTAATAGTTTAGCACTACAGTTTTATTCACTTACTGATACGTTCAGTTTGCAACACTATTTTGTATGTTTCTATCCCTGATAGAGTCTAGAGAGTAAATGGGCATATTATTTTGCACAGATCCCCTAATGTACAGTATTTTTAACACAGAATCTTATAGTGTATGTAACAACTCGTAAAGTTAAACAATGATGCAAATTTTCCTTGAGTTCTGCTAGAAGAGGAATCCACTTTGCAATGTCACAACCTCGTTCACCGGTTACTTAAAAACTAGGAAACTTGTAGAATAGAAGTTAGTAGCACTAACAGTGCAGGCAGATACAATCTTGAGGACCAATGAAGAGCAGCTAAGCAAAATTTATCCCTAGATTTTCCGTCTTTCTCAAAAGTTTGCTCCTCTGCCAGAGGAAAAAGAAATTCTAGAGCCTGTAGATATCTATTTATAATATAAAATTAAGAATTTTAAGTCCAAAATTTTGGCATATTTCATACAACTTTTCAAATCTGATTAAAATGATGATTCAAAAAAACCCAACCTGTTAATAGACAGACTATTAGGTTGCTGTGTTAACTGTTTAAAGGAGCAAGTGACACTTAAAATGCAGCTTAGAATGCTATGAGATGTATAATATTCAATTCAGTTGTTTTTATTTTGTTTAGTTGCAGAGCAACTGTATATATTGTATAACCTAAAATCAACTCTTATTTTCAATGTCCTGGATGCAGTGATTTATAATTAGAGCATGATTAATAAATTTTACTCTTGTTAACCAGTCAAATGTCTGGAAAAAAATAAAACTACTTTTAAAATCACTTTGGCTGCTTCTGTTACTCTGCACTGCTTGGGCAACGGTCTTCTTTTCAATGCCTACAATGAGAAATAGAAATCAGTAACACTTGAGCAAAAAAATGTACATCTTGTGGGTTTTTAGTTGAACGTAGAAACTGTGTAGACAACGCACCTAAGAGTAAATTAGAGGTGTAAAGCACCAAATGACTACCCATTAACACCTTGCTCTTGTTTTGTTCTAATATCTATGTTAAGCAGAGCTGAAGTCTACATTAACAAATTGTTTTCCAGACAGAGATGTAAGCAAGTGTCAGTTTTATTTTACATTTCTACAATATTGACATACAAAACACGACTTAGGAAAAAAAATTCATGTTAAATATAAAATTCTGTATAGTCCTGGAAACTGAAGATGGAATAATTTCTTCAAGTCACGTTTGGGGAATGAGGAAGTACCATGTGCAAGGCTGCGTGGCTGCTCTTGGCACAGCCAGTCTTCTCTGGGTTTGGGTGTAGCTACAGCCAGTCCCTGGTGTAACAAAAGAGCCCGGTTTCCTCCTCACACAAAGGCCTCTTGTACTACACCCTGGTGCTGCTGAAGGAAATCAGGACTTCTCCGACATTAAAACTGAATCAAAGGCTGTAGATAACACTTTGCAAATAGCTTGTGCTTGTTCCTAAAAAAAAACAAACAAAAAAAACCCAAACCCAAACATACAAATTAACTCTTTCTGCAGAACTTCTAAACCGTCTCAAAACTCACTTAAAGCAGAATGTGACCTTTATCATTCTTTTGGCAGAGACACGCAAAATGGAGGAGCACAAGTGAGATTTAATTTGATTTCTGTGGTCTGCAATGACATATGGGAAGCTGTTTTAAATAAGCTCTTTTGGAACAAGTCAGAGTTGTTAGCTTTCATCACAGCAGGACACCAGCATTCACAGTCACTTCATGTGTTCCCCCTCTGCTGCTCAAGGGCTGTGTCAGATCACAGTGTCTTGACAAGGACTTCTCCTGCTCTTCAGAGGAGATGCTTCCCTTGCTTATGAATATGAATGCATGCTCTGTTACCAGACTCCTTACTCAAGCCCTCCCTGCTCTGTCGGATCTTAAGGAGGTTTTTGTCTTTAAAAATACAGAGGACTGTCCTTAGCAGCTACGACAGCACTCTTCAGATTGCAAAGAGCTTTTCTCAGGCATTGTACATTCACTGGCAATTTTAGGGGTTGTAGGTATTTCTCCTCAAAGCTGATCAAATGCAGTCAGCAGAGCTTTTCTCCCCTCCTCAGCCAGGGCATATTTAAACTCTTTTTTTTTTTTTTTAATTGAGCAATCCCCCTTCTGCCAAAAAATCTTCACAGGGGCCTTGGGTTTTAGAATCTCCCTTTACAATCAAAATACCGATATCTAAATTAAATACCGTAAACATAAACTCTTACCAAACTATTGCACTGATATACCCAGAGGCTGCATTCTTCAGAGGCTGCATCTGTTGTCTTCAAAGCCAGTAAACTTTTTCCTGCTCCCAGACCATCATCATAGCAGACCATCCGTACAATTAAATAGAGAGCGTGCCTGTGTAACACATCCTGAAACCGTGCGGCAAACAAACGTTACTCCGCAGCAGCACAACACCTAGTTCAGTTTCCCACCTCTTTTGATTCTCTCTCTCTCTCTCTCTTACAAAAGAATACTTCAGGTTTATTTACAGGAGAAAAGTATTCCTTGGTAAAATTATCATTTTTTAGTTGAGAGTTTAGTCAAGATTCAAAAAGAGTCAGTGGAGGTTTAACAAAACGTTAGCTTTCATTTTTGCTCCTATTTTAGAATTGCATTCGTGTGTGGACTGTATTCCTGGCTGTACCACAAAAGCACACATTTGTTTCCCAC